TAGTTCAGTTTACCTACCAGCCGCCGGTATCTGCCAGGGTCTTCAAACACTTCACCCATATCACTGCTCAACTTAGTGTTTGTTTCCATAGGAGTTTCAGCTGGTTTAGCACCTAACAAACCTGTTTCTTCAAGCAAATCAAGAGCATATTTTCTCTGACACAAGTTAATACCATGCTTGGACCTTGCTACTTCTATCCCCAAGAAATACTTCAATTTTTCAAGGTCCTTTGTCTGAAAATGTTCCTACAGAAAGATCTTCAACCTGTCAATGCCCATTTTATCATTCCCGGTAATGACAATATCATCTACATACACCACTAATAGGATCTTCCCTGCCTGAGAGTCATGACTGAAGACGGAATGGTCAACTTGCCACCGTTTCATACCAAACTTCTTTACTACCTCACTAAATCTACCAAACCATGCTCGAGGAGACTGTTTAAGCCCATAAATGGCCTTCAGTAGCCGGCACACCTAATCATCCTCCCCCTGAGCAACAAACCCCGGTGGTTGCTTCATATAGACCTCTTTGAGCAGATCACCATGCAAGAAGGCATTCTTGATATCAAGCTGATAGAGGGGGCCAATCATACATCGCAGCAAGAGAAATCACAACACAGATTGAACCAATCTTAGCAACCGGGGAGAGAGTCTGTGTAATCAATACCATAGGTTTGGGAATACCCTTTGGCAACCAATCTAGCTTCCAGCCACGCTACACTACCATCAGGTAAGTACTTAACCGTATAAACCCACTTACAACCAACAACCTGCTTATCAGGAGGAAGAGTGGTGAGTTCCCATGTATGATTATGAGCCAGAGCTGAGAGTTCTTCTTCCATCGCACGTCACCATCCTGGAGAGGCAAGGGCATCCTAGACATCCTTAGGTTTAACGACAGAGGATAACAAAGAGACAAACTGGCGATGGGAAGTGGAAAGGTGTGTTAGTGAAACATAATTAGAAATAGGATGAAGAGTATAACTGCACTTACCTTTCCACAAGGCATTGGGAAGATCAAGGCCAGATACTGGGGTTGGGGCTGGTGTGGTAACAGCTGCCGGATCTGTCGACGATGATGAAGCTAGTGGAGGTGCCGGTACATGTGGACGATGTGTATACACGTGATGGATCGATGGTCGTTCAACAGGTGGTGGCACCGGAGGCAAAGACTTGGTCACTACGGGAACAAGGGGAACAAAGTCCACAATTGGAAGAGGAAGGGGAGGAGGTGATGAGGAGGAAGAAACATCAAAGGACCTCAAGAAGAATGGAGTAGACTCAAAGAAAGTAACATCAGCACATACAAAGGAACGTCGAGAATGACCATCAAGGATAGACGTGGGCATCCGGTTAACAAAGAAGCAGAAAGTAAGCACTGCATCACTCCAAAAGGATTTGGGAACATTTATGTGATGCACGAGGGACCGAGCTATTTCCAAGAGGTGACGATTCTTTCTCTCAGTCACCCTGTTTTGTTGTGGGGTGTAGGTACACGAAGTCTGATGGATAATGCCATGTTGGTCTAGGTAGTCTTGAAATGATGAAGAGAGATATTCCCGACCATTATCAGAACGAAAAATTTTAATGTGAACACCAAATTGGTTGCGAATCTCAACATAAAACTTTTGGAAAATGGTAAACAATTCACTTCTTTCTTTCATTAAATAGAGCCACGTCATCATTGAATAATCATCAACAAAAATGACAATATTTATATCCATTGTATGTCATCACTTTATAAGGACCCCAAACATCTGAATGAACTAAAGAAAAATGACTCAATACACGATTATCAACTCTAGGACTTAAGGGAACACGATGATGTTTCCTAAATTGACACGACTCATAATCCAAAACAGAAAGATGACTCAATGAAGGAACCAAAGACTTCAAAACTTTCAGTGAAGGATGACCAAATCGACAGTGCCACTGGAGAGGAGAGAGGGACGATTGGTGAGCTGTTGACGTACTTCCACCACCATCAAGATAATACAATCCACCAGCTTCATGCCCTCCAC